AGTCTGCCTGTTTGAAGGCACTGAGAGAGAGGCTGAGCACTGGAAGGTACCTAGTTGATGGGTAACAAAGTTTTTCTGGTCGTTTCTGGGTAAATTTTGCTGCTGTTAGGCCAGGGATAGGTTGCTCAGAGGAGTGACAGCGTGTGTTCACAGCTTTCAATCCAAAAGCTTGTTTTGCCACAGACTCACTTAAACGCCACTTATCTGCTGAAGTTGTCCCTACGCTTGTGCTGTCTGTACGTGTTTCACAAGGCTGTTTGATAACTGGCAGAGATTAATCAGGCATTTGGAGGGATTTTTGCAGTTCATTGATACACATTCAGGACTATGTTAATAGGGTTTTAATTAATTAGCAATGTGTTATGTTTGAACATGCAAAACCAGTGTGCTAAGCCTCAAGCTCAGGGGCTTGCTTTCTTAGATTTGAATTAATACATTGGAGCCTGACTGAGACACACATCCAATGTTTTACGGGAGGGAAATTGTGGTAGAGCTCGATCCTTGTCTGCCACTCGTGGGACCAGAAGATAAACTTGCCTCCTTGTTTTCCCCCACGTACTTGTTAACTGATCCATGTGTACCTGTTGGATTACTGCATAATCCAGACTTCTTGCTATTTGGGAGCATGTTTTCAATTTCATTTATCAAAGGTGTTAATTGCAGTTCTCACTAACTCTTTCCTTCCCCCACAATTACTTTCTTGTAGTTCCTGCTCGTAATTCTCGTGAAGTGCTGAGAGAGTCAGCCACAGATGTGCAGGTTCTTCCCAACTACTCCACACCTCTGAAAACAGATTCCTATTTTAATCCTAAAATGAAACTCAACAGGTGAGAGAACTGGGAGTGGGTGGCAAGTTTGTAGTGAAAAATACTTCTGCATTTTGAAAGGCAAACCCTGCAAAACTGATGCTGAGAGGGCAGGAGAAATAGTTCTTCAGTCGGAAAAATCTTCTTGACAAATAATATTTAAACCTAAGAACACTATGTTGAAGATACTGTCCTTTTTGAAGCAATTAAGTGTTTTTCAGTAAAGAGTGGCTTGTGGAGAAGAACAGCATTTGAAAGGAGCACACCTGAAAACTAACTTCATTGTATACACTCAAGGTGTTTCCCTGTGAATCTCCACAAGATACTGTGGATAGTCACTGCTCGCTCTCCGCTGGCTGATCAGCAGCATACCTGTAATTCAGTTTCCATGTTGTAGGCCTTTTTCTCTTGGGACTCCAGCTCTCTTAAGTGTCCTCCCATTTCTTGCATTTAAAAAGATGAAGAACCATCATCTTTTTTTTAAGGAGAGCCATAAATGGTGCCTGTACCGCAACTGAAAGGTGCGAGCGTTGGCACTGAGGCGTGGGACTGTGCTTCAGCCCGTGCTAGGCCCTCGGGTTCTCAGTGCACTTAATGCTTGAGCCTCAGGGTTTAAAGTTGGCCCAGGCATGTCTGTGAAAGCTGAGGCGTGCCTCTGAAGCAGGCCCTTGCATCTGCGGGTAGTCTGAAAGAACAAGGCCTGTTCCTCAACACGTGGAATTCCATTGCTCTGCAGTCAGTTCTGCCATTTCTTTAAAAAACCTAAGAGGGTGGTAGGGAAGTACGAAAACCACTGTTGCCTTTTGAATACTAGTAATTTTTTCCAGTGTTGGAGTAGCTAGCAAGTTGATTCAGGATCTTACCTTAAAAATATCCTGCTGTAGAATTAAACTTTTCAGGGTAGTTGAGGTTTTTGATTTGCAATTTGTTGGTGTAAAAGGTAGAGCTTAGTTTATATGTTCCAGTATCATGTTCAAGGGAAATAAATACGGAAAAAGAAGGAAAAATATTTTCTCAACTTACTGTGGCCATTCTTTTTTATTTTCAAGGCAGTTGATATTCTGCGCGCTCGCCGTTCTAGCTGAGGAACGTAAACCGATAGAATGTTTGGATGCTTTTGGTGCCACTGGTAAAGTCAAGTTTCTTTAATCTTTTGGCTCATATCCAGTAACATGAAGCTGCACAAATCTGCAGGAACAGAGAGCGTGCACTCAAAAATAATGGGGGGTACACAATCATTTTCTTCCTTTGGCAGGCAGTCATTAGCTTCCATACAAAAACCCCAGCCACTGAGACCCTGGTATTAGACCTTTTAAAAAGACTAAATAATATTAAAGCAAAGTTTAGTGGTCTCCTTAAAATCAGTTGCCTTCACGTCCATGGAAAGGCATCTTCCTAAACTTGCGTCCAAGGTCACAGATCTCTAGCGATTCCGTGGCTGTGGAATTGGCTGTAAAATCAACCTGTGGTTTTAAAAATGGTGATGAATCCTGTTGTGATTTCATCCCAGCCAGCAACAAAGTACCACACAGACACTCACTCGCCTCCCCCCTCCTCCAGTGAAGGAGGAGAATTGGAGGAAAAGACAAGGAAACCCATGAGCTGCGATAAGAACAATGTAATAATTGAATATAAATGAATAAAATAGTGATAGCAGTGCTACTAACAGTACTACTAACACTAATATTACTACAAATAATGTGTAATGGAAATAATGGAAAACAAAAGTAAAGATACAGTTGCTCACCAATTTCTGGCAACCAGTGCCCAGACAGGTCCCGAGTAGGCAGAGAGCAGCCCAAGAGAGATCTCACCAGTCAGTGAGCCTCACAAGTGAGCACAAATGAGAAAGCCAACCCACCAACCCGCATGGCCCCCGGCCCACCCCAGCTTACACACTGAGCGTGACGTTTGATGGCATGAAATGTCCCTTTGGCCACTTGGGGTCAGCTGTCCTGGCCGTGTCCCCTGCCCGCTGCTTGGAGTGAAACAGTTGGGAACACAGGCGCAGCCTCAGAAACTGAAACCGTCCTTGGTACGAACACTCCTTAGCAACAGCTAAAACCACCAGTGTTACCAGTTCTCAGCACACATCCAAACCACGGCCTCATACCAGCTACTGTGAAGAAAATTAACTCTGCCCCAACTAAAACCAGCACAATCCATGCTCTTTTATCAGAATCATCTCTAATCGATTACTAAAATTCTGAACATGAAATAAATGTGAAGTAGTTATAACAGTGTCTGTTCACCATCTGGAACAAAAATCTGAAGCGGTCTGGATTGCTGCCTCATTACCAGCCAGCTCCTGTAAACCTGAGGTCGTAGTTGAGAACAGCAGCAACTGCTTAGCATTTTGCATAAAAACTCTTGATAATGAATTTATCACCATTCTGAACCAGGCCAGATGTCCCAGTGCATCCCTTCCCGCTCTGCTGCGGTGTACTTGGAGACTGCGCTACAGAAGGCAGCCATAAATCCATGGAGGCAGCCTGAAAACCTTGGCAGTACCTGTTCTGATGTGTGTGCTTATGGTGGTCTGTGGCGGGAGCCTGCCTGGACGCTGGAGTGTTGCACAAGCCAAGGGGCTTCCCCTGCAGCTGGTGGCTCCAGCTTGCTGCAGAGTGACGGGTCTTACTGCCTACACCCCACATCAGCACCTCAGCAAGTCACGAGTAGACCATCCCGTTACATACCCCACTGCCACTGAGGCAGAACGCCACCCAGGCATTTCTGCAGGGACGTGCCCAAACGCGCATCACGCACACTTCTGCGTTCCAAGCATTTAAAAGGATGATTTTCTTGGTTTCCTTGGCATGTTCAGCAGCCCGGAAACCAAGCGCTAGTTCTGTCACGGAGTTACAATTCCGTCTTTCCGTAGGTATAATGGGATTGCAGTGGGCAAAGCATCTCAGAAGTGCTGTGAAGGTTACAATTAATGACTGTAACGAAAATTCTGTGACAATGATCAAGGAAAACTGCCATTTAAACAAAATGAAGGTGAAACTGGACCTTAAGGAAGAAGGCAACGACGAAACTGGGGGAGAAAATACTGACACCATTGAGGTGACAAAAATGGATGCTAATGTTCTCATGCATTTGAGATCATTTGATTTTATGTAAGTGTTGAATGTTTCTGTTCCTAACGTTCTGGTTTGACAGTGACACACCCCACCCCATCTCCCCGTATGCAATTATTTGGGCAAGGCAGAATGAAAGACTCAACCAATGGTCACCTGGTATCTTAAATGCAATTCTGCTGTCCCAGAAACACCGTGGGAACAGAACTTTAATCTTAAATGTTTTAGAAATTGCTGGAGAAATGTTAAGCTTTTCTGACATCCAGAATGGACTATAAATGTACATTGAATTGTTAAGCCAAACTGGTTTTTTATAGCTCCATAATGGTCCATTTCATAAAGAAATGTCAAATGAGTCTTTTTTTTTTTCTTAAAACTTTTGATGAGCTTAAAATTCATACCTCTGGATGTTGTTGTGTAGGACTCCATTGCACCTCTTGTTTTAATCATTTTGCAGCATATTAGTTTTCAGTTAAAGTAGGCTAATTCTTCCGAGTTGGGTTTCTGGATGCATACATTCAAAACCTATGCAGGCGTCAAAGTAAGTGATTGGATTGTTTTTTTTACTGTCACTGATTAACATCCGGCTCTAAGCAGCAGGTGTTCAGGCTGAAATTTAGGATCGTTATTTAGTAGGTACACTGGAACTCATTTCCTGAAGATGGTTTTGTTTTCAGAAGTTTCCCTTTGTTTTAAGGATGAAGGTAAGCATCAGGCCAATATGCTCGTAACCTCAGTTAGTCAGTGGGTCGGGATGCAAAAACGAAACCACCCCGATTTGCTGGCTTTGTGGTGACGTGTATTTTCCAGCACAGCGCTTCCCTGGCTCTTGCTCATAAGCACTCCAGGCTCATTTATGGGAGGTGTGTGGTAAATGCAAGTCCCGTTTCCTCCTTGTGTTTTCACTATGATCCTAGGTAAAGCTTACAAAATGGTGTTACCCTCAGTTTAAAGCTAAGCTCTTGAGCATTTATACTTGGTGGTACTCGCTTTCTTTTCAGCCATTTGGACCCCTTTGGAACTGCGGTGAATTACCTGGATTCTGCCTTTAGAAATGTGAGAAATCTTGGGATTGTGTCACTGACATCCACAGACATCAGTTCTCTGTATGCAAAGGCTCAACATGTCGCCCGGCGTCACTATGGGTGTAATATTGTCAGAACAGAGTACTACAAGGAACTGGCAGCCAGAATAGTAGTTGCTGCTGTGACAAGGTACTGCTGAATCGGCTCAAGTTATGGTGAAAAGTAATTTTAAAATTAATTAAAAGTCTTTAAACTGCTCCTGTAGGTTGTACATGTTCAGCTTCCAGAATTCCCTAATTCTACAAGCCAGGCTTCTTGCTGCAGACATAATGTTTAGTATTTTATGCGTGCTGCTATGGGATAATATGAAATTTTAACCTAAAAGACTGGGCAAGGTGAAAATGCTAAATAGGGTAGGGGTTTGGATGGTGGGGAGTTTTTTGGTGGTGAGGAGGGATGGTAATGGAAGTAATATCCAGACTTGCCTATCTGCAAACTCTGTCATTCCTGTCAGCCTTGTCATTTTGGTGCTGCACAGGGCTTTGTAAATGTTAATTAAGCTGCTTGAGTAGCTGCTGGCTGAGCGTTTGAGTTAAGCTTGCTTCAATGGAAACTGATGTTCACTTCAGATCCTCATGCCTGAGGTTAAAAACATACGTGTAGGTATTACCTTGCAAGATATGATGAGTAAATTCAGTCTGAACTAAACGAAGACATAGAACCTGGTCCCTAATTGGGGAAAAAACGCTACAGGCAAGAGGGTGGGACAACTGCTCGGGAAAGATGAGGAGCAGATAAGTGCACAGAAGTCTTCAGGATGCTGACCTGAACGTGTTAGCTTTTACTTCTCTGTCTCCCTGCCTGTGTGAAGTTGCTGCCCGCAGAATATTCTTAGATACAGACGTGCTGCTCAAGCGAGCCTGTGTGCTGGGTTACGTGCTCCAACTCCCTAAGGATTTCGTCTTCCTTCTCGGTGCTCACCTACTGAGGAACTGTGATGATTTACCACCCCGTGTGTCCCACTGCATTCCCACTTTCTCAGATTTTCGTTTAGTTTGTTTATAACTTTTGTTAGATATCCTGGCAACAGGCAGGTATCTGGATGGTAAGGTGATGCAGGTGGCAGGCCAGTATTCTACGTGTGACAAAAAGAATGAAACGAGGTTTGCTTTACAGGAAGTAGACAAAATTAGGCAGTTAAGCATCAACACTTTCAATATTCAGATCTTTAGTATCTCTGTCTAGAACGTGGATGAGCTCAAGAGTCTTTCAGCAGGTTCAGGTGTCCATGGCAATGTTAGTCGGCCCAGTTCAGAACAGTTTGGTCTTGTGTTTGTTTTTCCTTCACAGAGCTGCGGCTCGCTGTGACAAAGGCATTGAAGTTTTACTCGCGGTAGCTCTGGAACACTTTGTTCTAGTAGTGGTCAGAGTTTTAAGGGGACCATCCCCTGCAGATGAGTCAGCAAAGAAAATAAAATACCTCATCCACTGCCAGTGGTGCGAAGAGAGGATTTTTCAGAAAGAGAGTAATATGGTAGAAGGTAAGTGGCTTTTCTGTGGCACTTTCTAGAAGGTCTGGTTCCTGTATCTCCATTTGGTGCTTGCTTAGGCCTTGCTTATATTTACATCCCGTTAGTAAAGTAGTAAATCCCTTTAATGTAACGATGAGTGTATTTTATGAGGTAGAGAAGTCCCATGCTTTATGGGAGTGGGTTAGAGTAGTTGTCTGCCTGGATTTTGCTGTAAAGGTACTGGATTTGTTTCCAGATGGGACATATTTGAGCTAGCTGTAGCTGCTGAAGCTGCCAGGACGCCTGATGTAGCCGTGGATAAATCCATTCCGTGAAGGGAGTGAAGCTTGGGACAGTCTTGGCTACCATTTAGCTCCACCATACAGTGGCAGCTTGCTAGATTTCGGTGACAGATTGCTTTTTGACTGTTCATTTCAAATAACCTTAAAATGTAGTGGACTGAACAGTGTCGCTTCCCCCTCATTTGAAGTTGTATTCTGCCGGGCCTCTGGCAATATCGGTAGATGCCTGATGGAAATATGTTGGCAGGAGTGGTAGAAAGGGATGCACCATTCCCACCATACATCTAACACTTGGTAAATGAAGGCAGCCTCTAGGTTAAAAACCAGCTGCTCATGGGCTGCCTCTATGTGCGACTTAGTGATGTAGGAGACAAAAATTAATCTAGGAGGTAGCTACTAGCCAGGTGATAGTCTGAATGAATAAAAAAGGAAAAACCTTTTGGGTCCTTGGACATCTGACTACCAACTGCTCAAAGTCAGGTGTATGAGCTTGCTGTTAAAAAGTTCTTTAGAAATTAGATGAGTTTTAGGAACTGAAATGAATACTGGTAAGTACAGTGTTTTGGTAGAGATCTTAATTAGTAAATGAATTGTGTACTTAATGCCTTACTTGCAAGCGAGCTGACATACAGAATCCTAGAATGGTTTGGGTTGGAAGGGACCTTAAAGACCATGAAGTTCCAACCCTCCTGCCATGGGCAGGGACCCCTTCCACTAGACCAGGTTGCTCCAAGCCTCATCCAGCCTGGCCTTGGACACTTCCAGGGATGGGGCATCCACAGCTTCTCTGGGCAACCTGTTCCAGTGCTTCACCACCCTCTCCATGAAGAACTTCTTCCTGATACCCAATCTAAATCTCCCCACTTTCAATTTAAACCTGTTACCCCTTGTCCTGTCACTACAGGCCCTTGTAAAAAGTCCCCCCCAGCACAGCTTAGGGAACTTGCAGGCGGGCTGTTTTACAGATGAAATTGGCTGACGTCTGAAAACTTGAGTTGGTACTCACTGTTACCCTGGACAGCCGCTTGCAGTGGTGTAGGAAGGCTAGTAACTTCCTGTGTTTCTTGGCAGATGTCAGGTAACAGGGAAATTACATGGCGCTGCTTTGTTTTCTTCAGTGATTAGACATGAAGTCACCAGTCACTGACTTCTCATAAGCACTGCCTGGCAGATGTGAGAACGGTGTCACACTTCTGTTATTACCTCCACTGAAGCAGGCCACTACTTCATACCTCCGTCATCTCTCTCCAGCAACGTAGTCAGTGCTGGGTATTGCAAAAGAACCCTGTTTTTGTCTTGTAGAAAACCCTTATCATCAGCTGCCTTGTGACTGTCACGGCAGCATGCCTGGGAAGACAGCAGTAGTTCTTGGTCCCCTCTGGTAAGTTGGGAACACCAAACAGACTCGGGGAATAATTTAGGTTGGAAGCACCTCTGGAGGTCAGCTGTTCAGCCATACAATAAAGATGCAAGTGCAGGATATTTTAGCACTACAAAAGGAGGGACAGCAATCGGGAGGAATTCGGGAAACACTGAATTGCTTGGAGTTCAGTGGGGCATTCAGTTTGTGCTTTTGTTCACAGAGTTCAAACCGGTTAGTAAATAACAACAAACTCACAATCAGTGCAATTACATAAGTAAGACTTCCATAAGCCCTGCACAGGAGAACCTGGCTGTATGACCCTCTGGTTTCCTTCTATTACCCTGTACTTGTGGAGAATTTATTGAGTAAATCCTTACATGTCCTGAGGGTAGTAAGTAATACACTGCTTGATAATTAATACTTAAGAGTTTTCTCATGTGAGAAGCAAGAATAAATCTTTTTCAAGTCTTTTAACTATTTCAAAGCAGTAGTAAAAGTGTTCTGACAACTGACAGTACCTTTCCTGTGGGGGTTGAATGGCTCTGTCAGCATAGTAGGGCAGAAATAAAATCACCATTCTTGAGATCTCGACTTTTTTGGCACAAGTTAGTGTCGCTGCGAACAGAGCTGTTCGGTGTCGCCAGGCTAAGAACACAACCAGCCTGCAGCACTTCCCTGTAGCGTCACTGCTCACCAGTTCGGGCAAGAGATTTTGAGAGCATTTGCTTTCATGAAGAAGTCTTAACTGTTTGCTTGTCTTGCATTCCGCAGGTCAGGAGCCCTCTTTAACCCTGGATTCCTCAGAAGAATGGTGTATGAGGCTGTCCAGTATAGCTTGGACGAAGCTCAGCCGCTTCTGAAGACCCTGGTTTGTGAAGCAGACTGTAGAACTTCGAAGCATTTCTACGGCCGCAGTACCTTTGAGGAGAACAGGCAAGGTGAGCGAAAGGCAGACTGTTCACCAAAGGACTGGCTCAGTGGTGGTTTGGAGATGATGCGCTTCGATAACGAACAGCAGCATGTCCGTAAAGCTGAGTGCAGGGTGGGACTTGCCAGGTGGCCTTTGGTGCTGTAAGGAGTGCAGGGTCTGTCAGAGGCAGAGCGCTGGTTTAGACGTCTTTAATCGGCACACCAGACCCTAAACCAAATAAACGTAACGCAGGCAGGGTGACTGCCCTGAGATCCAGCATGTTCCCTGAAGGAGATGGAAATACCAACTGCCTGATAGTTCTTTGGTGTGGCCCGACCTGAGAGCACGTGCCGTTAGGAAGAGAGGACTCCAGCTGCTGTGCCCTGCACGCTCAGCAGGGATTGCACATCAGCGTGCCAGAAGAAACTGCTTTCTGTAGGGGAATGCTCTTCTGCTCGCTAAATGAAATCGTACTTTGAATATCCCCTCCAAATGCAAGTTACTGAGTTTGTACGTAAGAGCTGTGCATACCTACCCTTCTTACTACACCTCCTTCTTTGGGCCAGAATGTGGTATTGTTTCTTTCTGCTCAGCCAAGGCATTTTGCCATTTTACTGTCTTACAGTAGAATTAATTCTGACTTTCAATTGTGTTCTAGAAGAGTGTGGCGTATACATTAAGACACCAAATACTTCTGCAGAATCCTACTTGGTGCATGGTAAGTAGGTCATTTTGCTGTGGCTCTAGCACGCTGCAATTAAACTGTGGTTTAAGTGATGGCTAAGCCAGCCTAGTGTTCAGTACTGGTACTCAGGATTTATTTCCCACTGCCTACTGATTTTACTTTACCGTCATCCAGAACCAAATTCACTGGTAAAAGCAGAATGCTAAATGCTCCATGAAGCCTTCTTGACTTCACTTTTTATTACTGAATACGGCACGTTAATTAAATTGGGGTTAGATTTTTAATTCTGCAAAATACCCTCTTAGAAAAGCAGATGCAGAGGTGTAGTTGCTGTGTGGTGGGGTTTTTTGAACCCTGTCTTTGGCTTCATGGGTGTTTTCTTGTGGTCTCTCTGACTATTCTCCGACTTCACGGGCATTTTTTGTGATCCAGGAAAAAGAAAAAGTGAAGAAGTGGTTCAAAATGCAGCCAAGCGACAAAAATCCGAGAACAGTGCTGAGCACCCCGCGTTTTACTACAACATCCATAGACACAGCATCAAAGGAATGAACATGCCAAAGTAAGGTTTTCGTTTACGTTCCAGCCTTATGTTACTATGACAACTGAGGCATAACTGGTATTCAGTCGGCCTTACTAGCACTAACTCCCTTCTAAGCGGTTTGGGTTTTTGTCTGGTCTTTTCCAGGTTAAATAAGTTCTTAGACTATCTCTTCGACGCTGGATACAAAGTAAGCAGAACCCACTTTGATCCTATGGGCGTTCGCACGAACGCGCCCTTGGCGCAATTCAAGACTATTCTGATGAAGTACAGCACGCCCACCTACGCCGGGGGCCAGGCAGAAGGCCCTGTCCACCTAGCCGAAGACGTTCAGGCAGGAGAACAGGTCCAGGCTGCTGCAGACGGCAGGGCAGAAGATGCCGAGCTCCGGGACGATGATTAAATGCGAAGTCACTGCCGCCGTGTTCACAAAAGGCTACCTGACTCACTGTGCAGCTGATTCATTTTGTTCCTAGATCAGGATATCACAGACTTGTCAGCACACCCTGTTCAAGTAAGCCAGTACTACTTAGCAAACCGGATTTTGTGAAAATGTGAGTTGCCCGCTATTTTAATTTGAAAAGGTGTTTTTAGAATTACGTAGCAGGACTTAGCCCTGATCCCAGCCTGTGTGGCCATGGTAGTGCTACGGTGAGGAGGTCTCCGAGACAGTTACTCGCTTTTACGCTCACTTTCACAGTGAGGCACTGCGGCTGCTCCCCAGCCTCTGCTAAGCTTTACTGCTAGCACAGATTCCAGAAGGCTGGATGGGGCCAAAAGCCTGAAGCATTTTCGAACATGAGGTGAATATGAAACGGAGTATTCCTGAAATGAATCATTCCTAAAACCTGACCGGTTGCAGTTCAGAGGGAGGTCACGTTAAGATGATAAAATGCCACCGGATAAAATGTGATCTGAGTTTAAGCAAGCCAGAAAGCCTGGCTGCATGTTCTTTGAACACCAGATTGCAAATGGGGTTTGGCATTCAGTTCTGCCTGCAAGCAAGGACCAAACGCGGGTGAGGATGGGAAGGGATGGTTACACGACTGCTACTGCCACTCCAGTTTATAACCAAACCTTAGGGAGTTGTGTTACCTACCCTCAGCAGTTGTTCCGAGACTACACTTGGCTGGGGGCTGCAAAAAGGTACAGTGACAAGGCACCACAGGCTGAAGTTTTGCTATTGATTTTGTCAGTGACACAATCTTAGCCGTTACAAACATCTCTTCTGTGAACACGTAAAGGTGCTGCCTGTTGGCAGTCGGTTCTGGCTTCCTTAAACATTTGGCAGCTTGACTTTGTCCATTATTTCCCCCTCGTTCAGAGACCTCCTCCATGCGTTTCACTTGAATTGGGAGCAGCTGTCACAACTGACCTAGTCGTTCCCAATTTTCACAGTCTGGTGTTCAACCTGGCCCCCAATGCCACATTTATCTGAGAGCAGATACCCACCTCTGAAACTCCACAGAGTAGTACTTCTCTCTCTTTGAGCGCCAACCAAGAGTAAGGAGCAGCTCTCACAACTGACCTAGTCATTCCCAATTTTCACAGTCTGGTGTTCAACCTGGCCCCCAGTGCCACATTTATCTGAGAGCAGAATAGAAGGGTTGTTACTCTTTCTTACCCACCTCTGAAACTCCACAGAGTAGTACTTCTCTCTCTTTGAGCGCCAACCAAGAGTAACGTGACTGAGATGCCCCCGATCGTGCAAAACTACCTGAGCTCCAGAACTGAGTTACTGCCTCTTACACCACCTTAAATTCAGGACTCCTTTGGCAATGAGTTATTTTCATTCTGTCCTAACTAAAAGACAGGACCACTAAAGGCTTGCACTTCAGCAGTGATCCAGCAACAAACTATGTTGCCTTCATGAATGTAGTGCTTGTAGTTCTTTTCCAAAGATAACTTGGGATCAAATTAGAAGGATGAATGCAAAGAGAAAGGAAAGTCAGTGTTTCCCAGCTGTTCCCATCTAAGTGTTTTTTGAGTGGAGAGACTGCCGGAAGGCTTTGTGCGCAGATAAAACACCGCTCCCTTCAGCGGGACAGGACCAGTCATGAAGTCGGTGAACTGGAGCACAAAAGAGCGTTCCCATTACAGTTATTTAGGCCAAAAAGAAAGTTTAGCTGATGCCTGTCATGGGAAAGATTTTTAGTTACTTTGACAGCTCCTCCCAAGTACCAGAGCTATCGTGCATCCTTTCCCAGTCAGAGCGAGTACTCCTCAGTGCTTGCAGCTGTGCACAAGGAGGGGCAGCGAAAGCCAAGTTCAGGCTTGTCCACACCATCTGGGTTTTTTTTCCTCTCCGACAGGCAGAAGCCATTATAATCTGGGACGAGGAGTTTTGCCTGTGGTTGGTGACCAGCAGAAGGGGTGTTTGTAGCTCAGTCCTCTGAGAATTCTGTTTAACAGTTGTCTCAGTTATTCCTCAGGTAGTTAACAAAACTAGCGTTGGTCCAAGGCGAGTGCTTGAGGCCATTCTCCTCATTAGGTCTTGATTCTCTTAGAAGGTACGACGAGTAGGTTGTCCTCGTGGTGTACGGAAGCAGCGTTTGGGAAACACAGCAGCCCACATGGCCGTGTCTTGGAACGAGTCACCAGCAGCACAGCACGCTCCGTGCGCACCGCATGACCCAAAGCTGCTTTGATCAACTCGGGTAGTCCATAGTGCCATGGCTGGCTATTACTGTAGTAAACAGAGGAGTAAAGAAATTAGGATAATGTGGGTACTGGGGGCAAGGTTACTGCTGATTCTCTTCAAATTCCTGGAGCTGGCTGATGTTGTACCACGAGGCCTGAGCCAGTCCCTGGCGCAGCGCTTCGCCAGGCACTCTGTGCCCCGTCACTAACAACAGGCCTTCGGCGTGCAGCGAGTCTTGGTTGGATCAAGGTGTTACCGCAAGTGGCTCGTGCTGAACAGAAAATCAGAACTGCTGGAACCATTAGGGTACCGAAACCAGTATTAGCTTAGCAGCTGACCAGCATGCTGGGGGAGAAACACCGGAGGATGATGGAAAATGAAGTTTTAGGTTAGTCAGCAGAATGGGTGAGTACAGGCACCTCTGATACTCGTGAGCTGAGGGACATGGCCACCTGCCCACTGCTCTCCAGGTGTTTTCTGCTTAGCTGTGACTGAGGAAAGCTTCAAGGGAGTTGAAGCTGTAATACGTGTAAAGGTAAAACGCAGAAAGGAACACAACTTTTATAAATAATGCACCTCAACCCAAGTAATTTGTTACAGTTCTACATTTGTTCTCTGTTAATGCTGCTTCATGTACAATTAAACGCAACCAAAGTTGCCGGGTTTAACGCGCGTGCTGTGAAAATCCTTCAGCCCGTTTCTCAGGCTACCGGCTCCAAGTAGAACCGCAGCGCCTGTGAGGGGTGACCACGCCAGCTGCTCTCCTCTGTGTGCCTCCGTCTTTCCGTTCAAGGCACGTGCTACGCCCAGGAGTTCAGCTGGCTTCAACACGGATCGGCACCAGCGACCTACTCCCCTTCCCTCTGGACAGCCGGGAGCGCGGCAGCACTAACGGCCACGTGCGCTGTCCAGAGGGTTGCGTTCATCAGCTACACCAGGAAGCAGCGCTGGAATTTCCAAAAGGTTGTCAGTAACATTTTTGGGTTTAGTGTTCAGTTTGAGAATTTCAGGGTGACTTTAGTTAGATACTAGAGCTATTAGGCTTTCCCGTACTTAAAAAATAACATGGCTTGAAGAGGTGGAAAAGTCGATTTTGAAAATAAAATAGTTTTTAGCACTACAGAGTCACAGTGCAATCAATGGTTTAATCCAACAGCTACATTATATAGATAAAGAACATAAATATTCACTAAATTCACTACAACATGAAAAAAGCTTCACATTCTCTCACACTTTTTCAGAGGAGAGACGGCTCCTAGACAGACCACTCGGCTTCACAAACACCCCTCTTGCCTAAGGGAGCGGACAGCACCTTGGCTGCCATGAGGGGAAGGTACGCTGCACCTAGGCTAGAAGTTTCCCCGCAGATTTGAAAGCATCTATAATCGCCACTCCCCCACCCCCCAGGCTATATTCAGTGGACATGCACTACTAGTCTCTACAACGCAACATTTCACCAGAAAGTCAGGAATAGCCCGTTTCCTGAAGAACTGTCCCCTCTCTGTTCTGGGGCCAGAAAACTTCTGTTTCCTGTCATGGAAAACCAAGCCTTTCCAGTAAGAAAATAACAAAGTTACTCAAAGGCGGCTGTGCAGTTTTCACACCGGGATAAAGCTGATGGGAAACAGCAGCTGGAATGGGTGTGCATTTACAAGTGCTAGGCTTCAGAGGCAGAAGTGATGCAAGGGTGCTTCCCTTCCCAGAGAATTCCCAAGCATCTGGATAGTTAGCGTACCGCGTTCCAAAATCAGTCTCGGCTACAGGCAAGACAAAGCAGGAGCAATACCGTACGGTTTAAGGGACATTGCTTCTTGCTCCTAGCTCGAGGTGCAGAGGGGTGAAGGCTCCAGCAGCAAAGGGCATCTCACCCAACGTCACTGCCCTCCGGGCGGGTGCCAGCAGGTAAAGCAGCCCCCGCTGGGTGACAGCGAGGTCCAGTGCGAGGGAAGAGGGGGTTAACATGCAAAGGAACAGCAGCTACTGGACTTCACACGACAACCTACTGCCGAGTTTTAAAACTTGAACCCAAATTTAAGACACTAAACGGTAAACTTTCTCAAGTACTAAAATCATCTTCCAAAGTGCTAAGCCACAATTGTTAAAGCTATGGCAAAACCAGAACGGGTAAACCGTCGTCCAGCAGCTTCTGGTCGAAGTCCTCCCTGCTCAGCTGAGGCGCAGACACGCTCCCAGCTGGGGCGGCACGCATGCCATGCAGCAGAGCGTCCTGACGCTGCACTGCCTTCATGTGCTGGCATTTGGGGGATTTGCGTTAAAAACCAATCCGTTCAGGACAGTTCCTCACGGACCATTCCAATACATTCACAGTCACAATCCGTGACGGGGAGCAGCGGGGCCGCAGAACTCGAGGACGGGGAAACACAGCGACGGGCCGGTTCTGCACGGGGAAAAGGGGGGTGGAGTGAAGCATTTGTTCAAAAGCAAACCCATCCCATGAACCACCTTGCGCTGAAGTATTACGCCCAGTAAACAAGCAGCAAGGCTCTTAAAGTGTCAGTTTCCTTTCTGCAGCTCTGTTTGTAGGAAGAAAATGACAAATTGGTCTTTTCAAGGGCACTCGCTGCAAAACCATTAGAAATCGATTCTCCACCAGTCTTTTATATGGATAACCATCAGCTAATTACAACATGTAACACATTCCCTGGCGCATGTTACTGCTGAACAGGCTTCGCCATCCAACGCTCAGTACTTCACAGAGGCTACTATAACTGTGCCCAATGTATCAGAAATCCAGATTTACC